AAGATGAGTAAGGATTTGTAAGATTGCATTTCTAAATGTTTAGCTGCTTGAAGTAGTTGTTAAGTTCTTCATAGTTGATGAATAACACATTATCACATGAGTGTTTCAACAAACTTTCTTTCAAAATGGTATAGAAATTGTTCCCTAGTGGCAATAAAAGTACAATGTGTAATGATTGTGTGATTTTTTTTTTTAATTAAGTAATGCATTCTTATTTTAACTTTCAGGAAGCACAGGCTTATGCAGATGACAACAGCTTATTGTTCATGGAGACGTCTGCCAAAACATCTATGAACGTAAATGAAATATTCATGGCAATTGGTAAGTTTATGAACAAATTGAGAATTTAAGGGAATTATTTTCATGAGATTCATACCATCACAATCTTCCTAACCCAAGATCTCTGTTTTTCACCTAAATTATTTCTGGCACTGAAGTTTCCTTAGGCCCTTTCAGATCTTTTTTGATGTTCAGAAGTCAGATAAACTTGCTTGAAGCACAGTTGCACAGGTATTCTGTCAAGCACCAAAACACTTGGATTAACTTGGAATAGCTAAGATAGGTTACTTTTGAATCCTGTCGGCAAGTTCCGTGTACCTGTTTTGATTCCATGATGAAAACTTGTACTACTTCAAGTTCAAGCAAAATTAAGCTTTAGTTGTTATATAGAAAAAAACACCTTTCCCATGGTATAAGTAAGCATAAAAAGCTTTACATAGCTTTTCTTAATTGTAAGATGTACTTGGCATTTGTTAATCAAACTAGTGTAAGAATGTAGGTGAAAGTGTATAAATGTGTGCCTTTTGATGGTATGTTGTTTGCAGCAGATTGCACACTGCCTTGGATAGGTGCAAAACCTGGAATAATGTACCTTTTAGGAGACAGTGTTAACGGAAGCTGGAAACATTTCAAAACGGGAGAATGATAATGGACTTGCTTAAAAAAGTCAAGTATTAATTTTAGTCTAAACAAAATATTTGCTAAATATGCTTTTCTGTTAAAATTTTGTTTGAATTCCCAATGCAGCTATCTGAAATCCAAAAACTGTGCCAAAGATGACAATGTGTGCTTAAATTCAATGTCCAAGTATAAGTAAAGGACACTTCATGTGAAAAGTAAATTTACTAATATATTTTTAGCCCTAACATAATCTTAGAGATTTCTGTAAAGATGCTAACATTTAACAGTAAATATGAATTACGAAGAAATTTTGTGAATTCCGTTGATAGACACAAAATTGTATTTAATTGTTAATAAAATTCTGAAAGTGGAAGAAAAAGAAAGCATGCGTTTTTAGATTGGTCACCAACCTATTCAGTAATAACCTTAATCACAGTAGTGGCTCTGCTACTGGGAAATAGTAATGCATAGTGTCAAATAACCTTATTATATGTTTTGTGTTTTCCACTACAGTGACCTCTCTATCCCACTTCTTTTTGTGAAAAACAGCATTGCTATAAAAATTAAATGTTTCTAAAGAGCTCTTATGTTCTGCTTTCCAAGACAGTAAAGCAGAAGGTAATTTGTAGTGTGGTTCAAACTTCAGTAGATGCAAATTAAATTATCACTATAGCAACACTTTATAACAAGTACTTGCTTCATATTAACTATAAATACTTGGAGGGAAAAAAGTACATAACTATGAGTGGAAAGTATATTTTTCTTATAAATGCTCGAAATAGGCCTGCATTTAATGATACAGAAATGCTCAATTACACTGTTCTGGTGAAATTTTAAAATTAATTTGTTTAAAGGTGCAGTTTGCATCTTGTTTTTTTTAAAAAAAAAAAAACTTTAATCCCCAAAATCTGATAATTTTTTTGGTAATTTGTTATATCAACAGTAATTCTTACCTCTCCATGTTTTAATGAAGTATACAAAGTAAATTTGAGAAAACAATGCCCAATTAGTACCTGGGTATTTTGTCTGCAAGGTTGGTTGTCCATGTGAGTATTCTTTCACATCGATGGGTGAAATTCAGCTTTGTCAGTGCATCAGAACAAGATCTCTGCAGCAATGGACCCTGAAAGGAAATCTTGACGAGGATATAAGTTTTGTATGGAATTTGGAATGGCCTTTTGCCCAACATGGATGCAGTTCTTAGGACAATGTGTAAATACGATCTTCAAAAATGGGAGAAAATGAAAAATGAGAACATGGACAGAATTGAGGGATGCAAGCTACAGCTGCGTGTAAATTGACTGCTTTAGAGCTCATTCAGAACTTCCAGTTAAAAAAATTCACCTTAAATTATAGTTCTAGAATGTATCTAGAATCCAAAATGGCAGTGCTCTGAAGGCATTTTTCTACTGGTGCTTTGTCCCTTTGTACTGTCTCGGCAGCTTAGTACCGAACTCTTGGGTTCTGTCACAGAATCATAGAACAGCCCGAGTTGGAAGGGACCTTAAAAGACCATCTGGTCCAACCTTTTGTGGGAAAGGGAGCCTGGATGAGATTGCCTAGCGCCCTGAGATTATCTAGCACCACAACACATCTTGTTGATGTGTACTCTGCTGGTTTTCTGGCTGTTATACTTGCATTTCATTCCTTTTAGGAAAAGTTGTTCTTTAAAAAGCTGGCCAAAGTAATTACTTTGGAGCCGAAGCATGCAGCCAAACTGTAGAACAGGGGTGGTGGTTGGGTCTTGGTAACGTGGGCAAGACAGCCCCACAGAAGTCCTTTTATGTGGAACTTAGCTTTCTCTCCATCAGAACATTCCTAGGAGGAGTTACTGCTCAGAATAACATTTGTCACCCTGATTTTTAATGTCAGGACTGAGGAGATAACCTGGAGCTTAGAAGGAAAACAGAGAAATTGTCACAGTCAGTTGACTCATAAGAGCTGGAGAGAAGAGACAGCTTGAAAAAAAAAGAGGAGAGACTTGATCTAGTGCTGAGGGCCGTTTTATATGTTGTATGCAAATACTTACTCTGGCTAGATAGCTGGGCAATAGTTTGACCCATTTCTGTGTTTTGTGCCTTTTCATTCTTTCTGTATCTTTTAGCACTAACATCCTGATCTTAAAGCCTGTTCTGTGTAGGTGGGTTCCCCCAAGAGCCATCATTTACTGGCATAGCATACCTGTGCAGATACATTTTACTGTTCAAGTTACTAATGCATTTCACTCTTGAAAATCATAGATGATGTTAATGATTAAGAAGTTAAGTGTCTTAACTTCTTTTATTACCAATGCACTGAATCAAATCAGATTTTACAGTGATTATATTGATAAGCTTATAGAGTAGTTAAAGTATTGACTGTTTGTGTACTCAGGTGATTTAATCTTAATACAGTCTCAGTTTTGACTCTTATTTCTTGTTGATTTTATAGCAAAAAAATTGCCCAAGAATGAACCACAGAATGCAGGAGCCAGCTCTGCTAGAGGAAGAGGAGTAGACCTTACTGAACCCACGCAACCACCCAAAAGTCAATGTTGTAGTAACTAAAACATCAGTTGCTTTAAACTGTTCTGAATATTCTTCTGCTTCCTAACTGTTAATAACCATGGAATTGGAGTGCTTAACCTGGCCCAGTACACCTTCCAAACAGCGAAGAGACTTACAATAATAGTCAAGTTCATGATACAGAGTTTTCTTTTGACCTAAAATTTTAACATGCATGTATCCACCACTGGCTGTAATGTTTCAGCAGTAGAGGAGAGATGGAAGCGGAATAAACTTCCTTCAGTTGAAAGGTTTTAAAAATCACTTACCATTAGGGGTGTAAAAGAACTACTTTTCGTGGACCTAATTGGCCAGTTCCTGTAGCCTCAATACTGATCACTGTTATAATAAATAGAATTGGGACTTCTCATAATTTTCAATTGTGCTTTAAAACCTTTTTAGAAACAGGGTCTAAAAATTACTTAAACTCATTCACAGTATTGATGCAACCAGTTGTTTCTGCAGGTATCTACTGTTTAGTTATACATTCCATAGTTTAATAATTTAATTACAAATAATACTTGCATTAACAATTTTAAGAACCCTATGCTTGCAGGAAAGTGGAGTTTTAGTTGGTACACTGTATGTAAATTATATCAGCCCGGTTAGTTATCTAAAGGAATTAGTGATAAATCAAGCTTAACTTCATTTCTAATCTGTTCAGAGGGTACAGACCAGTAAATTCAACTTTATGACTTAGGATTTTTTTTTTCCCTCTACAAACTGTAAGAGCTCTTCAAGTAAAATCACAACAAACTCGGTGTCTGTAACTTCTTTCTTGTTTTTGATCATTGCTGGCCATTACAGTTTGTTTTTCCCCTAAGGAAAAAAATAGTGCACTAACGATTATGTACATCCAACTTGATTTTAAATTTGGATATTAATGTACTGTAAATAGGTACTCTGCATTGTAGTCTACATTTGTTTAATACTTTCTGTAATATTTAAGAGTTGCTTAAAGGTATACAGAATGTACAGTTACTTAAAGCTAACTTTTTTCCTCTCTAATCAAAGGGGGTTCGAAGTTCTTCCTTTATGGCTAGAACAGTAATAAATGATGCTCCTGTATCTGTAACATAAGTATTGCTGTCTGTCAGTAATGAACTTTGCAACTTTGTTTTCCAAAGTACGTTTTATTTTGATCTGTCCAGTATATTGCACTAATTCTTTTAGTTATTTTCATTATATGAAATCTACCAAGTGTGTCAGAAGAGATGAATTAGTCTATTTAAATGTTGAACTGATAGCAGAAACTTACTTGTGCAAATTTTAAATTTGCAGTAATCTGGGTCTAGCAAGGAAAATGACAGTTCACCAGTGTTTAGTTTTATATTGAGGTGCTCAGGTTTGAATAAAGTGGTTTAAAAGAAAAAGAAAGATTTTTGATTACTGTTTCTTACTGAGAGTTTCAGAAGGTTTTATTGCATTTGCAGAGTTCCAGACAAGATGTCTGATTTACTATATGGGTCAGCATTGAAGATGATTACAAGTAAATTCATGACACAGCTAAATATAAGCTTGTACTATATGTACCGTGGCACTCCAGTTATCCTAGGATAAATTTTTAAATATTAAGGTAATTTGGTATCTTATTGCATCCATTTAGAAGTACAATCAAAATAGTAATATCTCTTGAACCTGCAGCTAATGCAGTCTTTACCAGCTGTTCGCTAACGTAGCTTGCTGCGTTGTCGTAGAGTGTCTCAGCCGTGACTCTGCCTCTTCCTGCAGTTTGTGATTTGCAATTGGACGGGTACATTTTTGTGTCCTCTTCAAACTGTGGTAGTGGTTTAGAACCCACTGGTGATACAGTCTTTAGCAGTTCTTGACCAGCATAACTGGCAAGTTTGTCACAAAATATCTTGGAGTCTATTTTTTCTGCAACTTGTAGACCTGAGTCATAATTAGATAGGCAAGCTTTTGTATCTTTTGTGAGCTGTTTCATGTCTTTAGACCCTATTGCCAGTACATTCTCCGGCAGCTGTTTATGGGTGCAACTTGGACCTCTCTCACAGAAAGTGTCAGTGTCTGTTTCTTCTTGCACTGCAGTCTGTGACTGTGGCTGAAAACTGTTACATAGATAAACTTTTCTGTCCTGAAACTGTTTCAGTTCTTCAGAGCTACCTTTTGTGCTAGAGTCAGAATCTCTTATTTCTCTGTTCTGTGAATTTACTTCATTGTTACTGAAAACAGACAGTTCTGGATCAGCTTGATTTTTGTGGTCATCAGTTTCCTTAGGAACTCCATCTTCACTTTGCAAATAGTTCCTCCTAGAACATTTTGGCTTATTTTGTTTCAGGTTGCCTTTTGAGTCAGTGAGAAAAATGTCCGTATTGGAATACAGTGTCTCTATTCCATTTTGCAGACCTTTAATAGCCTTTGAGTCATTTAAGTTGTCTTCAGTGAGGGGCATCAAATACTGACACACATATGGAGAAGTTCCGTTTTGTTGAACACTTTCATACATTCTCAAATAACGAGTGAATGTTGTTAAAGTTAATGCAAGTACTTCATTGTAATCCAAAACCTCCCAAAGCCCATTAGAAGCTAAAATAAGAAACTGACAAGTATCATCAATAGGGACAGATACAGTATGAGGTACAGGTATAACAGATCTTTTCAGTACTGGATCTCCGTGATGTCCAAGACCCCTTGTAGTTCTCAGGTACCCCTCTACTAATCCGTCTGGTTCATTAATGCTGATGTTTCCACCATTCTGAAGTATGCGTTCTCTCTCGCTTACGTTAGAAGTGCTGTGCTCTTTTGAGAGGCAGTGACTCTTTCCATTTTTACATAAGACTGCATGTGCATTACCTAAAATTGAAATAAGATATTTGCATTATAGCATACTGATTTTTTTTTTAAGATACTGCTGTTACATTAAGAGTTAGCCTTTCGTGAAGGACTGGGGAAAAAAACTGAGGTCATAGTTCAATTATCTACTGCCACAGGCAACAATATGTCCATCAATGAGTCTGGTTCTATTTTGCATGAAAGTTTTTTAGGTTTTTTTTTTTTCCCCTCCCATTATTCAGAAGACTATTCCAGAACCTTATTTTTCTGTATGCAACTAAACTCTTATGAGGAGTCTTAAGCAACATTTCATTCAGCTTAAAGTGCAGTCTGAAATGTTGCACCTTGACTGTTTTTTAAGCAAGAGTGCATATTTTTCTCAAATACTCTTTTTTTTTTTCCCTAGGAGAGTGTGTGCTTTCAAAATATTATGGCTGAATGAACTCATCAAGCAGTTTCAGGTTCAGACTATTTTTAGCAGTATAAAATTTCTAGTACCTGAAAATAATTTGGACATCATGTAGAATTTACAGTTTACTAACATGATGCCTTAAATCTCTTCCTTGGTTAAGGGACCCAAGGGAGTAAGAGTTCTCACAGTCATCCCGAGAAGTCGAGGACTAACTTCTTCCCTTTAGCGAGAATAGGTACTTTACCTTTCCCTCAACACTTTTGAAATCTGCAGGGTGAGAATGAAAAGTGTTAGAAATTGCAGCGCTGCAGGTGACTAGTCTTGTCAGACTTGAATGCAGAGTGTAAAGGAAAGCAGCTCTGAAACAAAGTGATGTATTTGAGATCCTCTATGGCTACGCTGGGAGAAGACCATTTTTTGTGTTAGGGGAGGTGATCGGTCTGTTCCCGTGTGTTGGCATGAGGGCAAAAGTGATGTATTGCAGAAGGAACTTGAGTGGGATGGTAGCTTTCCAGACACTAAGGTGGCTGCAGGGTGTTCATTTATATTGTGATTTTAATATCATCTGGCTAGACTAGGGCACAGATCTCTGAGAAGTGTTTATAAGTAGGCACTGCTTACACAGTAGTTGTATTTCTTGGGCAGTATCAGCATTGTCTCGTGTAGGAGACGGCTAAGCGTAGTCTGTGTGAAGGCAGATTTCTCTAGAAGGTGATTCAGAATATCAAACTGAAAGACACACCTTTTTTATGGGTTATAGAATGTAGATGCCTTAAGTTATGCTGTGTGAATGTTTCCTTGTGCTTGCTCCCTCCTCCTTCCTCTGATTTCCATGGAGAGCTAGAATATTGTCTAAAATTTCCTTTGAACCCTCTGAGTAAGACCACCAGGTGTAAGCCTAACAAAGGCTGTAATATAACCCATATGAAACAATTTAACTGCAAGAAAGAGTAAAATCTAGTCGCTTTTGGATGCAAGTCTCTTGTCTGCAAACCAGAGACAGGGCAGAAGAATTGCCAAAAACTAACTGACCTATCAATGTGGGACTAAATGAAGAAGACAAAGCTGGCCAATGCCACCATCTCCTGCTCCGCATATCTGACCATCCTCTTCAGTTGCTTACCTGGTGTGAAGGAACATGTCTATACTTCTGTAAGAACACATTCCTGGGAGGAAAATGAAGCTTGATGTCATGCAAATCTTTTTCTTTGATGTGATATATTTGGTGGAAAATTAAGTGTATTAGATTAAATAAATGTGTATTTAGCAGTGGTTCAAAAATGTGGACTTTAATCATAAAAGGCTTAAAGTATCTCTCATTAGCAGAGCTTGAGTTTACAGTATCTTTAATTGCAGCCACCATAAAACCTTAACTGAGAGGGAAGGATGGAGGCAGGTAACTAGAACCAGAAGACTTAGGTTGGGTGAATGCTCTACCAAATTTTCTTACCTTCATCTTACCTCTCAAGCTCATTGTAATAAAAATGGGTTTCTTCCCCAATAAGGTGAAAACAAATGCATCTGAAAACATTACAACCTTTTATGTGAGTTAATACTCTTTTCCATTAAAGGTGTGACTGCATCTCCTGCAAGACTATCTGAGCTAGTGCTAAGGTACCGGTTTTGATACCTGTAACAGTAAAGTTCGGGTAGCTGCAAAAATGCTTGTTTGAGGCAGAGAAAGTATGGCTATAGCAACAAGCGTTGGGAGGATGGAGGAGAGGGGACAGACCACAGTTACTTCATTCAGTGTCAGTGCATGCTCAGGTTGGTTTATAATGTTCCTCAGACTGGCAGAGGATTGCATATTATTGTTACGCAAAAATATTCTTTTTTTTTTAAAATCTGGCATCAGTTTTTTCCAGATGTGGAATATGATAATTTTTTTTGCCTCTTGAAAAAAAATGAAGTCTCTT